CTAGTGACATCTACGGACGGCTCATTCATTTGCAAGCAGATAGCAACAAGAAACAGAGAAAGAAGAAACGAACAGGCGGAAGCGACCAGTGGAGATTACTTACCCAAAACGTGAGGGGATTTTCAGCGGAAAGCCGAATGGCATGGAGGGGTGCTTGGCGACGGACGCCGGTGATACGTCGGCCGTCAATCTGGATGCTCCAGGAAACTCATTTCAGCTCCGAAGAGGAAGCAGTCCACTTAGCCAGAACGTGGAGCAGCTTATGGGGAATACAGCATCAGAGTGAAGGGCCAACTCTATCATACTGGAGCATTGAGGATAGCGTCACCGGCGGAGTGGCGATCTTGCTCAATCCGAGTGCTGCTGCGGATGTCCAGCCATGGTTACGAGATCGATGGACCAAGCGCGTCATCGCTATCAAGTTACGCAACCTGACAGTGGTGAATCTGTATGGCCCGAATGATCACAGAGAACGCGAACTCCTATATGGCCGCCTCGAGACCTGGCCGTGGGAAGAAAATGACACGATCCTGGCAGGGTATTTCAACTGTGTCCTCTGTCCCGTCCTCGATCGGCTCGGGGGAACCCGCAATGGCAGAGCAGAAGGTGTGGCGCTCCAGGACTTAGTCCATCACCTTCAGTTAGAAGATGCTATGGTGCTGGCGGGCCACACGGACGATGAGGCAGATCAACTTGAGCCAACTGAGTATTTTACTTATTGGGGGCCGGAAACAGCAAGTCGTCTAGATCGCATGTATGTCCCTCAGTCCTGGACATCCAAGGTGCAGTGGGTTTCAGTGGAGAAACCAGTGGCTCCTTCCGACCATCAACAGGTCATAGTACATTTGACGACGGAACGCAGGGCCCACAGTCGGCAGAAACGAAAACAAGGGGTACCGTATCCAATTCGCTCGGGCCAACCAGAACGTGTGCAAGCTGACCTGCTGGAGCGTATAATTGACGTAGAAGCAGGCCATCAGGAGACCACGCACACGTGGGATGCGATGGTAGGCCATTGTGTCGAGGCCATTCGGTTCATCACGGCTAAGGAAAAACTTCGCCGGCAGGAGTATAAGCATCAGAATAACGCGAGGCACCGGGTTCATTTGCTAACGAGGAGAGAACTCTTGGAGGTCTCCGCCACAGAACGACGAGAGGAGCACTCCCTGAGAGTGGGTCAACGGCTAGAACGCACAATGGATCGCCTGCGGTGGACCTTTAAACGAGCGTTGAATTGGGAGAAGGACCAGACCATCCCACACATTAACCGCATCCACGGAGCTGCCTTCCCCACTGACATGTCCGTGGCGGACAAAATGAGAAGCGAGTGGACCCCGGTTCTAGGCACAATTCACAGCAGTGTCCCCGACATAGATTTGGAGCAACAGTTTGATAAGTTTGCCAGAATCCCTGACGATCGCAAGCTGCAGGATCAACACAACAACCTCTTGATGCAGGAAATCACTGATCAAGATGTGATCAGCGCGATTGCCGCGCTGAACCGACACAAAGCGGCGGGGCTCGACGGACTGAACAATGACTCTTACAAGGATACTCAGGCCATCATGGTGCCAGCGCTGACTACAATTAGCAACGAGCTCCTCCAAGGAAGGGACCCCCCTCCTTCATTCCTTGACGCTTTGATTATTCCGCTCAAGAAAAAAGGAGAGTCCTCGGATGCCATGGACTTTCGCCCTATCTTATTGCTCCAAACCAGCTACAAGATTGTGACGAAAGTGCTCGCTACTAGGGCACAGCTAGTAATGGGCATCCCTATTGGATCTTCCCAACATGGATTCGTTCATGGACGCCAAATGATGAAAACGGTGATGATGATGCTGCCAATTTTGCAAACGGCGACCTCGGATCCAGACCTGGAAGAGGCTCATTTTAATTTTGGATTTTCGGAAGACTTATAACAAGGATTCGTTCATGGACGCCAAATGATGAAAACGGTGATGATGATGCTGGCAATTTTGCAAACGGCGACCTCGGATCCAGACCTGGAAGAGGCTCATTTTAATTTTGGATTTTCGGAAGGCTTATGACACAGTGGCGCGAGAATTTTTGTTTCTTACGTTGCGGAAATTTGGCTTCTCGCAAGAATTTGTGGAAATGCTGCGACGACTGCATGAAGGCACGACGGCGCGATTTCTAGTAAACGGTGAACTCTCGGAGCCGGTCCTCGTTCAGTCAGGTATCCTATCCGCTGGCGCCTCTGCTGTTCATCCTAGCGGCAGAAATCTTAGCACTACAGTGCCTACGGTAATTAGTCTGTGTGAATAAATAGTCACAGTTCGAAATTAGTCACACCGTTCGAATGTGAGACTAATTACCGTGAGCAAGAAAATGTCGTGTTCAAAATTAGTCTGAGTTCATAATTAGTATCACCTTATTTTGGGCATTCGAATTGGCGCATTGGAAAAGACTGGCCCGGTTTACACTCCTGGCGTGAGTTCGAGTCCCTCCGCAGCAACGGACGGTGCTCGCGTTTTACTGGTGATGCAATAACAGGTCATTTAATAAAAGTGGGTTTCCCACTTACCCTCAACGCGGCACACTACGAAGCAGCGGGTTATGTTTTTTAAGGATATGAATTATACTTTTAATAGAATAATAGCTATGCAGTTTCCTTAAGCTTATTTGAAGAGTATTTGATATTTTATAATTGGAAATGTTATTTTTATGTGACTGCGTCTCTTGGAGGCTAATGTGGTCTATACTCATTCCATAAATTCTTCCAACACACCAACGCCTTTTGGAGGCTAATGTGGTCTATTCTCATTCCAGAAATTCTTCCAACACACCAACGCCTCTTCTCCCTCTAAGAACTGTCTTTTAATGAGCTCCAACTCAGCTCAACTTTCCCCGTGTGGTGGCTGTGGTGACCTCGTTGGTCCTATTCACGTCTGCCCAATCTGCTCTGTTCATATGCACCCATTTTGTGGGAAGCCTGTCGGACAAGAGGGCTTTGGACAGCATGTTCTCTGTCCAGAATGTGATTCAGGCAAACCTCAAGCTATATCAGCTCCTCCTATCATAAAAGCTTTCGCGCTACAGGGAGCAAAAGATTCGATCTCTAAGGATGATACCAACGATGACGACTCAGAAGAGAGCTCTGAAGACGACATAATCTCTATTTCCAATGCGGTCGTGACTGAGTTGCCAACGTCAACATCATCTCGAGCGTCACAACAGGTTACCACCATCCAGCATCGCCGTCGTGTCATCTCCTGAATGGAAGAATATGAAAAAGCAAAGGGAGCGAAGAACATGTTCGCGAGAGCTGTAGATCAATTTCCTGATATTTTTAACTCGTCTACTCGCAATGCTAACCTTAGCAAAGCGATGGCCTGGTGGAAGAATCGAGAGCAACTTCAAGCGCCACTCCGGGGTTCTGTGTCACTGTCGAGTTTACGATCAGATAGAAGAAAGCGAGTGAACTCTAAGGCTTTGTCCGGCCGAGGTCGTCCTCGGAGCACGTGGGTGCTCTGGATATATCCTTTGTTGCTAAGCGAGTTTGATCGATTACGTAAATTGGGGTTGAAGTTCGACGCATCCTTGCTACGTCAAGTAGCTAAGCGTATCCTCCAGGGCCCTCAAGCTCCAAAGGCTAATGATAACGGGGCTGAGCTGTTAACAAAGATCACTTCACGCTGGGTGCGAACCTTTATGGAGAACAACAACATAGTACTTCGTGCGGCAACAGGTAAACGACTGGTGAGCCCTCAGAAGGTTGAAGATATTGAGAAGCAAGTGGCCTATCACCTTGGCACGTTGAAGCGTGGGTTTGAGAGCGGTTTGTATGACGAGAATGCGATTGAAAACATCGATGAAACTCATTTCGTTGTAGATTTTGACAACGGCAAGACTCTCGGTTTTGGAGGCGAAAACCAGGTCAAATATGCGGATGTTGTATCCGGAGGGGATGGAATGACAACGATCGTGCGAATCAGCGGTGGGCCAAGTGCACGTATCTTGCCCCCGATGATGATTTTTACGAACGCAGACCGTAGTTATCCAATTCGTGGAGTTAAGGATGACGTGGAAGGAGTGTGTTATCGTACGGGGCCGAGGGGCTGGATGGACAAACGTCTCTTTCGCGAGTATCTGAAAGAGCCTCGAGCTCAAAAGCCGGATCGTTTAGGTCGCAAGAAGACTATTTTCCTAGATAACTGCTCAAGTCACCTCGAGGAAGACGAGTGTACTGAAGAGCTTCAGAAGTTAAATGCTTCTTTAGCCTTCTTTCCAGCAAACGCAACGGATCTCTGTCAGCCGGCGGACTCATTCGTTATCGCAAAGATAAAGAACGAGTGGCGTCGAATGTGGAATGAGAAAAAGATCGAGTTGATTGAGGAGGAGGCATGGCAAAACAAAAAGAGGTCCGATGGAACCTGGTCAGGAAAACTTAAGAATCCAGGAAAGCATTTTTTTCTGTCCCTGGCTGCTAAAGCAGTACGCCAAGTCAACTCTCAAAGGGACAAGAATAATGTGAACTACGCTCGGAAAGCCATGATTCGATGCGGACTCTCGCTGGATGTTGATGGTGTATGGAGAACTGAACAGCTATTCAGCCACCTTCAAGTAATCATCAAGAAGTTCTCAGATCAATTTGCTGGACAAGCGGTCCATTGGATATGACAAACAAACACACAAAAAAACAAAAGAATAACCAGACCAGCTTCTCAACAATCGTAAACTGGTGTGACTAATTAGGGTGAGATATTAATTAGTCTAAGTGTGACTAATTCTACCACACCTTAAATAGTCAGAGTGCATAATTAACCACACTCATACTAATTTAGGTGAGCAGAGTCTGCAGCACCTCACATAAATTAGTATGAGTGAGACTAATTACCGTAGCTACTGTAGCTAATCAACAGGACCCGGGACTGGAAGGGATCGCAGTACCTGGCGGAAAGGGGGAGGTCCACAAATTCTCGGCATTTGTGGATGACTCCACCGTGTTCCTGCAGAAAGCAAACCAGTTACCCCGCGTGATGGAGATAGTAAAGCGCTTTGGAGAGCTGTCAGGGTTGCAGGTCCAGCCTTCCAAAAGCAAAGCGATCTTTCTAAATACGGCAGTGAAGAAAGTGGATATATACGGGATCCCGGTAGTGCCGATGGGAGAAACAGTGCGCTACTTGGGGTACCAAGTCGGGACCGGCCCGTTGACAGAGGTGAACTGGGCGACTCGGATTCGCGCTGTCCAGAGACGCTTAGCAACAGCGGCGCAATTATCCCAAAGTGTCGAGACACGCGTACTCTTGCTCAACGTGATCATGCTACCATCGGTGCTATTTACGGCAGCGGTGTTCGAAATGCCAAGGTGGGCGGATCGCCAGCTGCGCAGTATTCAGAAACAATTCTTGTGGCATCATTCGACAGGCCACGAACCCAGTAGGCATAAGGTCAACCCGGGCCTCCTATTCACTCGACAGGCTGGAGGAGTCGGGTTGGCATCAATCGCCATAGCCTGTAAGACACAGCGGGCCAAACACACCATGCAGTGGCTTATCCAACGGCATGACACGTACTACGACGCGTGGAGACAGTGGGCTTTCCGAGGAGCGAAGCATCCGTGGGCTGCAGGCGTCTCGCCGACGCAGGCCGGAGGTGAGAGGACCGGCTCCCGGACAATGACGCCGGGGGACAGGTTACAACGCTTGATCGGTGGGTGGATAGCCCCTCGCGCCCTGCCTGTCAGCCGGAAAACTGTGCGTCAGCACGAGCTGATGGAACTGGCAGACACTGCTGAGAGTTGGCTGGAAGACGAGGAATGGCATCTTGAGCTACAAGACCCACTCCCTCCCCTACTTGAGGAACTGTCAGAGGAAGACAAAGTTTTCTGGCCCAGCTACTACTGGACGGACCACCCTCATATCTATGACCAAACAGGGAAGATGTTGACACCGTCCAAGTACGATCGAATCCGCCCAACGCCGATAGCGGCATTGAATATTGAGCGTATAGCGAAACGGGAATACAAGATGACGATACCACACACAGATTCAGGTCGACATCGAGCCGCTAAATTGCAACGGTGGGCCATAGCTATTCTTTGCAGTAATCCGCGATTGGCACTAGGAGAACGGATGCAAGTGCGTGGCGTAGCAGTCATGAGGCATCCACCTTCTTTCCAACAGGATTTTCAATGGAGGATGGTTGGAGCGCATACTATCCATGATGTCGCAAGCGCAGAAAGCGACAGCGGGACCCCAGCAGTAATTCTAGCCCAGCAGTAATTCTAGACCAGCAGTAATTCTAGACCAGATGCCTAATAGAATTTACTGGCGTGTCAGGGCAGTCGGAGAAGGGACCGCAGAAACCCAGCAGGATATTGGTCGGCTTCAACAGCACGAGACCGAAGGAAGCATAGTTTTTCAAGCACACCCGACCCTCCATGGCTTTCCATGGACAGTGCCGGACACTATAGCGAACAAGCACGTTTCAGCGGCCATCAACAAGCAAGTCTTTCGGCTCTACAGAGGAGAAGGCCCCACAATCGCCGGGGTGATCACTAGGCTAGAGCAAGCCGCCGCAGAAAGTGAGTGGCACGCAGCTGCTTTAAGCCAAACGCCGACGACACTATGGGCTCATGGTCACGAACTTACGGAGTACCAAGTTTGGGTGGGATATCGCGTGGCACTCGGGCAGCTCAATCTGTTTCATGAAGGCCGACTCATCGACAACAGCTGTAGGAAGCAGCCAAGGTGTCACGGCACGAAGGAAACCCTGGCGCACATCCTGTGGGACTGCCCTTGCGCGCAGGCCTGTTAACAACGTATAGTGGCACATTGAACAGGGGTCCAATGGGGTCTAGTGCACATGGGGCAATTTCAGAAGTCCTGTGCCAGCCGAGTTCCACCAGCGATATCATCAACAGTGGAGGTCTTCTTGAGAACCGAGCACCCGGATGAAACAAAGGACTATCAGCAGACATGGAACCGACTGTGGCGTATCTGGTGCACCATATGCATCACGAGTCGGTGGATACAGCGGAACAGGGTGGATTTTTAAGCACGAAGAGGTGACG